TTAGACTTATGGGGTGTGTGATAGACTTACCTCCACGTGGTGCACCCTGGGCAGCGTGTACTCATACGGCGAAAAAGTCTATTACCTGGCAGTTGACTTCAAACTACCATGACCCCACTGCATGTCATATTCGACTACTTTCCCACCTTTTTTCCACCTTATCTACCTTCGTCTTTAATACACTTTTCTGTTCCCCCCCCCCCTCTTGAATTTTTTACACTTTGACGTTCCTTCCCCTCTGTGAAGACTGAAGTCAACTAAAGGGCTAATGATAACAATCAAAACGCCTGCCATTTGATGTAATAATAATAATATTAGACTTATATTTTTTTAAAACTCCACAAGCCAGTATCTAGAATCTTTACCTGCGACTATGTTCTTTGCGAACACATGCACCAAGAAGGTTTAGTATATCCTTAACATTCCAGAGGTAATGGTAACTGTTTTGTCGAAAACAACGCCGAGTATGGTTCATTTAGGTCATTCCAACTTCAAACAAACTCTTGACAATACAATCATAAATACGTATCTTGGTGTCATAAATGCCAATATTTACTAACAGCCACGCAGCATGTTCAGGGCAAATATTCTTGTCAGTGGTACCTTAAACGCCTTTAAAAAAGCCAGTTTGTCATCGATGTCGACGTTCCGGATGCTTTCAAAGTCCACTTTTGGCATTTTCCTCTTAATTTTTAATGTTTTAGGCAAGTGTACTGGTCAAAAAAACACAAATTTAAACCAATGATGTATGGTTAGTGATTTAAAGCCGAAACCAGGAGGTGTATTGCTAATTTATGAGTGATAAATCAAAACAAGTGGAGCTTGGATCAGAACCGGCGAAAAATGCCCCGATAAAATGTCTTCCAAGGAGTCAAAAATATTATACATTATTTGTAATTCTTACTTTGTTGGTGGGTAATGAGGTAGGGAGTTAGCACAAGCTCTCATTGTGTTTTTTTTGAATTCGAATTAAAATCCTGATAAACTGGATGAAAGTTATGGGCCACTCTGTGGAACTACACCAGACTGTCTGATCCGCTCCCCAACTCTTATCAGCATACTTAGTCCATTTAAATCAAACTCCCAAAAATAATTCAATGATTGAATAACCAATCGATATTTATCCGATATCTAGTACACTTGAGCTCACATTTTGTCATTCTTGTATAAGCTCTAAAGCAAGGTAAGACACCAAAAACTTTGGCTTAAATTCTAAATCATGTTCACTCACACAATTTTTCAATAACTTTAGATACTCATTTCAGAGAGTTGTATCTGGAAACCCCACCTCGCCCCCTCTTCCCAGTGGTAACTTGTCAATGGCATCCGTTAAGAATTAGGAAGAACTTATGAAAGATTTCACCTTCATTCACCAATTTGTCGGGAGGTGGCAGAAAAAAATAGACAACCTTTCCTCACAAACAGTAGAGCTTTCTCAATGTTCAACTCATAATGATTGGTTAATAACACTAGTCAAGAAATCGATAAAATAGTTTCATTTATACTGTCTCGCTGTACCGAAAATTGCTGCTATTTGGTGATTGAATGCAAGTGATTTAGAAAAACCCTGTGAATAGGAATGGCCAACGTGGAACCTCAATGATCGGTGCATTTTGACTTCCAGCATTTCTTTACTTCTCCCCCGCTCCTCTCCCCATTTGGTTACCAATAGTTACCAATGAAACTAACCTTAAGTGGAAGTTTAATCGCCCCAACAGTCTTCTTTCTCTCTATAGGAGAGTAGTCGAGATTTGTTGACAGATATGGCGTCGCAAGCTCTGGAACAGCAGTCTCAACTTGATTTGGTTGGCAACCATTTGCACTAGCCACTGATCTGGGCAAAGATTTTGTTGTTCCATTCTCATATTGATTTTCGTTCATCTGCTCCAGTAGGAGTGTGATCATATCACTGCTGCTACTACCGCCTCTAACTCGATGTCTAGCAACATCAAGAGGTGTCTCCCCTTGAGCATTTTTCATCCAAAGAGTTGCGTGAGCTGCAGCCGCAAGGGAGGATGTTGTCGAATTGGAAATAGACGAAGATAGACGCTTGGAATCCTTTCTTCGTGACAGTGTGCCCATCAGTGTTGGAGAGCTGTGGCACATTAGAAGAGACTTGGCAATCTTGGTACGTTTCAGAGAAGCGGCGATATGCAAGGGCGTTTCCAGGTTCCCGTTAACTGCCATTACATTGGCGGATGATGCGAGAAGGATTTTGACAATACCAACGCGACTGTAGCGAATTGCGGTGTGGAGACAAGTATTTCCAAACTAAAAATGAAATGAATTCATATTTAATAAGCTAAGAAAGAATTCTTAATTACTAAAAAATTTTGCAATTCCATTGTTTATATCAATCTATAGATCAACCTAAGTGGAGAAGCTATTTGGATGGCAACTCCATGTCCCTGAAATCGAGTACAGAAGAAATCGATTCCTGGTGCCTAACGCTACTTGGGAATGCATTATAAAATCGTAGACCGGAGGGGAGGGGAGGTGGCGGGTTTCTTGGCAATTTACATATATGTCCACACGTTTACCTTTCGGCTTGTTCACCCCCAACTTTTCTTACATAAACACCTGACCTTTGAACTAAATGGTGAGCACTTTTGAATGATTGTACACCCGGACGTAATTGCAGTCCTTTTGACTTATCTCTCACGGTCCAAAAAATACCTCTCTCTCTCCCAGTGACAATCAATCATGAAATCAGTTTTGTATTTTTGAAATAAACAGTGGAAATTAAATTAGGGCGGCACAAAACCGAAACATTTCCAACTTACTTTCTGGGGAAAAGACCTTGTTTACCCTATCATAAAGACGTGGGAGAATTTTTTGTTTTGCATTCAATGACAACCCTTCAACAGCCGTAGCAGATTCTTAGATTTGAACAAAAAAATGGTTGCAATTTCATGAAATAAGAACACTTCCTCCGAGAATACAAACTACACTAATTCTAAATGAGAAAACATTGAAAATAGCGTTTAGAAAACAGCGGACAGGAGGTAGTCTTGAACCCGAGATGTTGAATGCAAATCAATAAAAGAATCTCGATATTGATTACCATCCTCCATGTTAACTGATGAGCCACGGAGAGTGAAGTCATAAAATTTACAAAAGCAACAAATAGGCTTTTCAGAGAGGAGCTGATTTTCTTTGAAATAAGTAGTAATTTTGGAACGATTATTTCATGCGCAAATCAAAGTATTGCCTTTCCTTTAAGGAAGGGCCTTGAGAAACGCTTTTTGAGTTGTCATTTATAATACCTAATGAAATTTTCCCATTTTCCAGGCAAATGATCAAAATATTGGGTGCCACTGAAATTGCCCATCGTTTTCTGACAACTGCCACTCGTGCTTGAATGGGTAAACAAATTGCGGTGATTTGTGCTATTTACCTCTAAGCACCTACAAAAAATGTATTTTCGGTGTCAGTATTAAGGCACCATCTAGCAGTTAATTTTAAACCTTTTGCGTGAGGGATAACAGAAGTTTCTGAGGTAACTGAGTACCGAGTGATTTACCGCTGGGCACTGACTGCACACACAACACACCCTCTCTCCCTCTCCCCGATATTTTCAAACAGGAAACGAATCAGCACTCATCTATCAGAAATCGATAGCCACCACGCGTTAAACAATTATCTGCACACTTGCAAACTTCACATGGTATGTGAGTGTGCACCCCACACCAACATATTTTTGTACCTGAAGGGCATTTATAAGCGCAAAATGCAAACAATAATTTTACAGCAATTTTGATACTAGTGCCATTCGTATGATAAAGTCGATGGTAAAGAATAACAAAATTCCGGTGTTGTTAGAATGGTTAAAAGTGTATTAATAACATTTGCTATCATAAGCAGTAGAGTTATTGGTAAAAATCTAATCAGAATTAATGTAACAATGATATTAGTGAGTCTAACAATAAAAATAGAAGTCTACCTAATGATAGAATTGTGTTTAGTAACTCACTAAGTTATTCTGAAATCCCAATAAGGCGAGAGCGCAAGTTCGTACAAGAATCTGGGAAATGAGTTCCGAAATCTAATCATGAAACACTTATTTAGGATGGAAATGTGGCGTTGTGAAATCTCGACCACCAAATTCATATTTACACTTAACCAATGAAATTTCTTTGAAAGGAATTGACTTGATTCTCGATTGCCAATTCAAATCCCCTGCTAGAGTAAAAATCGCTAACGTAGTTTTCATTCTAGTGACAAATGAGATCAATTAACCAAGATCACACTACTTAGCTTAAATTAAAATTTATTGAAACAGTGAATGAAAATTTATTGTACGCCTTGCAATAAAAGGTAAATTGTGACTTTGAATGTCATAATTTAATAAATAAATGAATACGTTTTCCTTTTCTTTTCAATTCGAAAAGAACTAAGGAATGGCGAAGCATGCAACTAGCAAATGTGAATTTGGGAACAGTTTCTTTTTTCTCCTATTCAACAACAGGCCATTTTAAAATTCATTAATTAAAAGTAGGAAAACAGTCACTACCTATTTGGTCAGTTTTGTAACTGAAAGGATATTAGAAAACATAATTTCATGCATTCTGAACAGTTTAGTTTAAATTTTTGCATCTTCTTTCAATAAAAAACTAACATGCGAAATTGGATCAATGAATGTCTAGGCATATTTATTCACATTTATCTAAAATTAACCAAGAAATACTGTAGAACGATGCAAATCAGATTGCAAGTCATATTTGGTAACTCAGTATTAGCCAGCTATTTGACTAAATTTAAAAATCCCTCAAAGGTTAAAATAATTCTAAAAAAAATAAACATGTTAGTTTAGAGTAAATGTGGTGATTACTTTCATATGAATTATGAATGCTAGCCTTTAGAAATTATTGTATTTTTACGTTGATCGATCACCTACATCAGTTGGGAACAACAAAGGAAGAAATGATTATTCTTTTCAAACCGGAAGAAATTGATTAAGTTTTACGCTTTCGAAACGTTCCACCAATTAGAAGAAAGGAAATTTCTGGGTGTTTCAAACATCGATATCTTCTATAGAGTAGATACAAATTATATACTTCCAATCATTTTTGAGGGTACCATTTGTCAACTAACCTTGAGTGCAAACTTTAAACAAAATTGTATAGAGGTTTTGCGAATAAGGCGTGAGTTCTTTTGAATTTCTGTCATTGGTGCATACATACTTAAATTAATTCGTCAGTTTTTTCGTTCAAATAGTCAAGGTCAAGTTCGGTTTTTTGCGTAATCTTGCTTGAAGTGAGCGTTTTTTGCGGAAGATTCTTGAAAAAAACTTATTAATCTTCATAATAAAGTTCTAAAATAAGGCTTAATTCAAAAATGCAGGAAGGGAAGAAAAATATTACTCTGAGTTCTTTTTTTCCAAGTTAGTATTGAAGTGGTTTGGAGACGATAAATGAAAAGCCAATTACATTTATTTCGACTGGTTTGTGAATTTTCACACATTCAATCGAATAATCATACCAAATGCACTTTTTCTCCATGCACAGCCTTAATACAGAGGAAAATAAGGAAAAAAGGTTTTGGTCAATCGGTTTTACTTAAATTAAGATTAAACTTTATGTGTCTTCCTTAATCTCAACCAATAACATTAAAGATTGATTTTTCAATAGCTTGTAAACGAGCTAAATTTGGTTTTGTTATTGGGACAACATTCACACATTGCCCTTTTGTAATAAGTATTATACCGCAATTTCACTCGAAAGTTCTATTGAACTAGATAAGCAAACAAGGTAAGAACCAATCAGATATCAGTACAGAATATTTGCCTGAAACATTAGTGGTGTCAATTGAATTTCAGTGAATTTTCATATGTTAAAGGTTTAGGCAAGAGTAAAATTGATTATTTTACAAAGAAATTTGTCTCAATTAATTAATAAATTTATTTCAGATTCCTTTAAAAGCAATTGTGAATTGTTTAAAATATTATTCCATCTGGCAATTCTTCCGTTCATAGAGAATATGGATAAATAAGAGTGTATGTGACAAACTATTTTTTTTCAGATAAATTAATGAAAATAGACTTTAATGGATAATGTGAAAATGATACAGAGAAATTGAAAGTTTATACGGCATAAGAAATTCGTTAATTTGATTCTGGTAATATGTAAAGTAGTAAATAAAAATTTTACTCATTTATAATGTTTTAACGGGAGAGAATAAAGAGATGCTAAATATTTTGGCATTTCGACTCAAATGGTAATTTCCATTTGTCAGTAAAGACACTTATTAGTGTCAGCACTAATACCTTTATATTAAAAGGTATAATTTTTTAAAAATAAGGCGAACAAATACCGTAATAAAATACATTAATATGGCTTTTCACTCTCTCAATATGTACTATGCCTGAATTACATAGCGGTTATCATGAATTTTTTCTGTTTTATTGTCAGATTAGAAGATCCGACATATGAAATGCCAACTATAGTCTCCTATCAAGATAATTGCATTTCAAATTTACGCTTTAATGTGTACATATGTTTGTTTTTGTTTATTTATCTTACCGTGAATTCAAACGCGACTCACTTTATCAATGGCATTAATATCGGCTCCAGAACAGAGGAGGACACGGAGACACTGCTTATGTCCATGTTGGGCGGCAACGTGGAGTGGAGTCAACCCCATCTGTTTAAAAATAAAAAATAAACAGGTTTTTTAAACGTTTTTTTAAAAATAAAAATCTCCTGTCTTAAGGCGATTTTGTCCTCTCACTTCAAAATTAAATCAAATCAAGATTGAATAAACAAATTCTAGGAAGACTAGGGAGGTAAATTGAAATATGATTTTCAAGAAAATCGAAAAGGTTTGGGTGCAAACTATTTAGTCGTCCATTTCCATTCAAAGTAAATTACCAATTTATTGTTAAATTGAGCGTCTTGGGCTAATTCCACTGTTCCAATGGGAGTGCGAATGAAGCATTTGGGATCAAATTCTAAACTACTTAAAGAGTTTCAGCGCACTTCCACTAACTTCAAACGACGGTGTGCACCATTAAAATTTGGCAAAATTTGTTCCATCTCAATCAACCTTGACTGCAACATTGAGTGTGTGCAAAATGATTTAGTTTGGTCTATTAAAATGAAATCAGTATTTATTTGATATTTTTCAGCGCCTTAAGGGGGGCGGAATTCCTTCCAGTAAAAATCATGAGGGGTGATTACGGCGTCTCTGTTTGAGTAGCGCGCCTACTGTTGCCTCATGTAATTATCTTAGAATATTTACTTCTCACCTAATAACCATTACTGGACAATACGATAAATATATATATATTTTTCAAAATTAGATAATTACCTTGTTGGGAATATTTGGCGATGCTCTTGAAATGCAGAGAGCTTCAACAGATCTGGAAAATCCCTTAGAAGCAGCTTCATGCAGAGGCGAATTCCCGTTCTACGCAAAATTATGGCAAATAAATCAAATAATGAATTGATTTATTTAATCATTTTAAAACCCCGCCAACATTATTTTTTCTTTCATTTTTTTCAATATAACTATATATTTGTCCACTATCTCCACTTCATGGCTAAGATTATGGCAGTAAACTTCATGTAAATAGTTCAAAATTCAATGTCACTATATGGGGCGTGCGATAGACTTACCTCCACGTGGTGCACCCTGGGCAACGTATACTCATACGGCAAAAAAGTCTATCAACTGGCAGCTGACTTCTGACTTCAAACTACCATCATCCCACTGTATGCCATATTTGACCCCTTCCACAGTCCTCATCTTACTATTTCTCTACCTTTTTGTCTGTCTGTCTGTCTCTGTAACATCTGTGAATCGCTCTCCTGTTCCCCACCTCTAGACTTTCTGCTACTTTGATGAACTTTCCCTCCGTGAAGCCCGAAGACAGCTAAATGGCCAATGATAGCTATCAAAACGCCTGCCATTTGAAATAAATAAATAAATTTATGTAATAATCATTATTCATTTCCTTAATAATAATAATTTGATGAAGATAATCAAAGATTTTTTCATGTACTTTTCAAGACCTGGCATTTGAAGACTATAAATTTTAACTTCAAGAAATATTCATCTGAATAACGGCGTTCAAAAGTCATCTGTTCACATGAAATGACCGTCTGTATTAATCTTAATTTCGTTAAGCACGAATATGCATTTCAAGACTTTGAACTGAAAGGATT